CCCAGCACAGCACACAGTGAAATGTATCCTCTGCATGTAACCCATCCTAGTATTGTGAGCAGCTACTATACAGCAGTTGTTTGGGTTTCCAGTGCCTTGCCCAAGGGCATGTCGGCAATGCCCAGGGGGCAAACTGGTACCTCTAGCTACAAGTCCACGCTCCATAAATGTTCCGTGCTGGGGAGTTGAACTAGCGACCCTCTGGTTCCAAAGCCAAGTCCCCATAGACAGAGCTACTGCCACCCAACATGTCATCTCTTTGTGTCATGAATCATACCTGCTTGAGTTTCATGAATTCATAAAACCTCGACATGTGATTTCAATCGTGACAGACTCCAGCTTCAGCCCGCTGCCCGACACCAGTGATGAAACCCTGTCTCGTCTCTGCATAGCTGCCTACTCGCTAGTCGCTGCCTCAGTCAAAGACTAAGAGCTGGGCCAAACCCAGACGACAAATCAATGCAGTTTACAGTGCAATGTATGTGAACATTATTCAGCTCGGTTAGAGCAGCTCATTTCATGCAGAAAGGTCCACAATGCTACGACTGGCACTGCTAGCCGACAGATATATGTCCCAAGAAGAATATTAGCATTTAGACTCATCGGTGCTCTGGCTGGCACAGTTATGACTAATGAATGCTACTATGCTGGTGTCGCTTTGTATATATCTTTCACCCTCACAACCCCAGCCTGTTTGGGCATGCTGATCCAGATCCATGGCGATTCCCATCAAAGCCTCGGCCACTCGAAACCTGCTGTGAGTCGTCATCGTCTAATGTGAGAAGCAGACACGTCTACAATCTGAATTAAAACATGCGGATCAAACGTTTGATCTTTAATCAAATATTAGTTCATATATAATCTCTTGCAGTATCCTCATTCAGTCATATATATCTGTACCAATAGTTGTCATTTTAAAAGTATGATGGTCCAACTCAATAAAGGGAAGGATAATAAAGTGAGAAAAATAAATGTGAAGGTGTAAAAGCTTTGACCCGTCAGTAAACAAACCCTGTCAGAAAAAAAGAGAACTGTTGTGTTTTATGTGGCTCCTGCAGCAACTGGCAAAGTGCTCATATTTGGTTGATATTAGTTAAACAACTCCCACTAACAACAAAGTGACATGGTAAGGGTACAACAAACTGCATAGTGAGAATTGTAGATAACATGTTTAAATACTCAAATATAATTAAGCTTATGATGACTCTGTAAATCCTTCTCTGACTATTAAAGGACTGAAGTTCATAAGAACTCAAACCGGTCCATCAAAGCCACTGTTAAAGGCTACAATACAAAATAAAAGCATGTATCAACATGCATTTTTTTAAATGCCAGTTTGCTCCACTACTCGGTGAGTTTCTCCCTCTAAAAAAATCATAATAGCATTCTATCCAGAATATAATCAGCAGATTTATCAATACTGAAAATAATCAGTATTTTGGAACCCCATAAAAACATATGTAGCCACTGGTATAAGAAATGCTGCTGGGAACCTTTATTAAACCATGCTAAATCGTTAGCATTAGCTCCTCAACCTGTTGGACCATACAACATCTCAGCTGGCTCAGTACCAGCTTTCAACGCCACAACTCATATCGAGTATCTCTCTCTCACACACACAGATTGACTCACACACATGTTGTACAATACCAATAGCCGGAGCAGCAAGACAGGTCAAAGGAACAACAGTTGTTTGAATAAAGAGATGAGATCAGGTGATGATGTGCAGGCGATAGCCTGAACTTCAAAAGGCCAACAAGAGCAAAAATTGGATGATGAAAAGAGACAGTGCATCAAAGTAGTATGAACTTTTCATTTGGGCCACAACCAAGTTCAAAGCATCTCAAACTACTCCATCTACAGACCCTGCACACACACACACACACACACACACACACACACACACAGTCAATACTGTTATTTTAGTATATGAATCCAACAAAAATAACACCAAAGCACAACTGGGGTCTTTGAATTTTGCTTGCATTGCACATCGGACAGAAGTGATAACAGCTGGAAAGAAGGCTTTGAAGAACAGACTTGCAGCTGCAAGGCCAATAGATCAGTTCTCTGCTCAGCAAGCCATGCAGTTGCTCTCCAACATGTGTCTGATCTGCTGCTGAAGATCTTAAACGTCACGCTGAATTGTTCCTTCGCATGTGATCCCTCACAGATGACGCAGTTACCCTTAGAAACAAACGCGCCACACCGTTTTGTAATCTGTGAAAGAGGGAACGTGGAAAACGCTCATCCTGTCAGTATCTGATCGGTGGTGTGTGAGATCCTGCTCGTGACAAATTAAAAGATGACTGATCTAATGACCCGTAATAAAAGAAACAATAAATAAATAACTGTCAAGGTGTCATCACTTGAGTGCATCTGCAAATAAACGGTTTACACTGCCTCACAGTAATTGTGGGATTTGTTATAAAACGTACAGCTTGTGGTTCCAGGTTTTGCAAAACAATGAAATGATTGAATGATCAACAATTTTGGCAATACCTTGATACAGTTTCATACGTCTGCTATTCTCGATCACCAATTAATAACCTACAAACTTAGTCTAAACAAGACTAGGAGTATAGATTTGCGAGGCTGTACTTCTTCGGGAACATTTGTGCTTTGAGTTAAACACCAACATCCACATGCTAACATGCTTACAATGACAAGCTAACATGTTCATAATCATAGGTAGCATTTACCTGGTTCACCATGTGAGTTTAGCCTGTGTATGCTAACATTTGACATTGACTAAAGTACTGGGCCGACTGATATTCTGACCTGATGTTGGCGTAAGATGAAGAGTCAGGGGATCAGCCAGTCAGTAGCATTGATCCTGTATGAGGACCTTTACATTATGATGCTCATTTCCTGACAATCCATCAAATTGTTTGTTAAGATATTTCACTTAAAGCCAAAAATATCAAGCTGCTGCTGGCGCTTTAGGAAAAGTGAGGGGATCATTAAAGTCCATAGCGTTCATCCTCTGGGCACCATGAATGTCCATATAGGGTTTGAGACATTTTAGTCTGGACCAAAGCGTGCTCAATCATCTATAGGCATAGTATGTGATGCATCTAATATTGCTCTTTCTTTGATCATTTCCTGTCATGTCTATATACTAATGACTCTGGAATAAAGGCATACCATTTTGTTGCACCTGTTAGGGCAAAGTGTCGTTCACCTCACATACGCCCCAGCATGACTCTGCCTTGCTTCACTCTGAGTAGAGACTTGTGGAGGAGAATGACTGAAAGCACATATGTGGGTATGCTATGTGACGCTGATAAAAAGAACAATGGACCACAGCAAGATACCATGATGTGTTCCTCTATGCTTTAGTTAAATCTCTCTTCTTGCCGTTGTCGGCCAGACTGAGCGAGATCAGGTAAGACTACACACAGTTGGTGGGTAAGGAGTCATAGTCTGGAATCGTTTGTTTGTGCCTGCACTGATGTGCATGTTTGTCTGAATTAATGAGTTCAAACATGGGAAGTTGTATGAGCTAAAGATCAAAGTTAAGTGCAAACGCATTGACTGAGCCTGAGAACGCATTGCTCTGAATGGGAACGTCTAAATTTGTGGTGGAAATGGGTGTGTGTGTGACTGTGTATGGGTGTGAGAGAGAGAGAGAGAGAGAGAGAGAGAGAGAGAGAGAGAGAGAGAGACCAGGATAAGCGTCTGCTAGCTAATGAGCTTATCTGATTTACTTCATTGTACAGCTGGGACAAATAGTCCATTGACAGAAAATTAAACTGCATTTATTTTGATAATTGATTAACTGTTTAAGTCATTAAACGAGCAACAACCAAAAAACATCTTCAAGCTACGGAAATGTGAAAATTTAAGGCTTTTCCTTGTTTTACAAAATGATAAATTGCATATTCAGACCAACTGACTACATCACTACCTGCAGCCATATTTCATTTTGAATATCCTTAAAAAGTAATCTCGAATCAAGAGTCATTTTATTTCTCATGTTCTGTCTGCTTAATCCTTATCCCTAGAGTTAAGCCCTACTGTATATATCCTAGCATACACTGGGCAATAGGAAACATCCAAAACATGCCCCCCCTCTCAGAGCAACCACTGGTTTTATGAATTCATATTGTTGTTTTTTTGCACACCATCTGTTTGCTGTCATACAATGTGCAGGCGTTTAGGAATTCCAGCAAATTCGAGCAGGAGACACCGAGCTGCCCCCTGGGGTGGCCGCGCCGTTGGTATCACCTAATTGATGATGCCTTCTTCGGCTGCCGGTGACGTCGCTCCAATAGCATCGTGCCATGAAGTAAGCCCCCGCTTTCCCCACTCCAATTCGCATGCACTTTACAGAGCCGCTGCGCTGCGCACACTCCAAGTGCGCTGCAACCGCTCAACGCCGGGTGAAATCACGCTGAAATACCCGTGCAAGACTGCCTAACAAAACCACAGACACACAATCACACAGCAGGAAACAATGCTCCAATAAATTCAAGAAAAGTTACATAATCAAACACCTTGTGAGAGATTCCAAAATAGGCTAGAGAAGGGAGGTGTTTTTACTCCTTATCCCTGCTGCAGAGGGGCCAAGGAAATGAGCTGTCACATCACACCTCTTTCTGCAAACCATAGTCAGAGAGCAATCAATCAAGAGGCCATCAGTAGTGGAAAAATGGGCGAATTTAGGTATGAATCGTAGGGATTGTAGGCTATTCTGGGTGCAAATGTTGCTGGAAACTGCCGTTAGTGAGTCAAGTGGGGTCCTCGTCGTCCAGATCTGAGTCCTCTTAACGTAAATGGTAACTTCCCACACTCCAGAGCAGCCCGTCCCGTGTGCTGAAAATACACGCCTTTGCCATATGCGCGCACAGTCTACACCGCCGACGCACCGGCAGCAGCGCCGGCGTCACGCGGAGACGGACCCGCTGCCAACAAAACCAAACCCGGGCAAACACACACATCACTCTCTCACTACGTCGAACAGTCACCAACCAGCCGCCGCCGCCCCTGCTGCTTACCTACGATGGTTACCCGTTCTGTCTTTCTTCCCCTTCGGCCTCCTTTTTCTGGCCTGGATGGCCATCACTGCCGGGGGGTGAGGTAACGTTGAACCACGGGGAACGACCGACGTCCGAGTCCGGGGAAGGGTGTAGGATGGACGGGGAGGAAAGAGAGAGAATAAACACACATCATTAGGCTCTGAAGCTGGCTGGCACGGGGCATTCAGCGTCGTTTTGCATGCCCCCGGTAGGGATAGCTACACGCGTAACTTTCGCCATCTTTCGTATTAATTACATCCAGAAGTGTGGTCAAGTCAGAGGCTGAGGGATACGCACCTTTCCTGGAGCTCATGTTTCCTCCTCTTCCCCTCAGCAGGAGCGGGCAGCTCAGAGGCAGCAGCCGGATTCTCTCTCTCTCTCTCTCGTGCACACAAAAACACGAGCGCACACTAACCTCTACCTATAGATGGCACGCGCTCCCTCTTGCGGTGGTTGCGTGCAGTCCTGCGTGGACCTGCACCACTGTGCACGAATGTATTCTCATTCACATTTAGGTTTAACAGCAGAATATATTTAGTCGGGCATTTTTCTCCAGCAGAATATTAGAGCATGCAACAATCCACAAATGTGTATTAAAACATGTGTCTATGTATATTAGGCTACATTTTTATTCTATAAAAAGTATTTTTCTAACACCACACATCTTGTGGTTGTTTTTGGATAAAGTCAAAGGATGCACAGTAAGTCATAAACTAAGTAACTCGAATGCAGGGATGCATATGTTGCAGGTTAAGTATGCATGACCTTTGCTGCATGTCATTCCTTCTCTCTCTCTGACTCCTCTCATATTTCTACTGTTGAGTCTCTCATAAGAGCTTAACATGTCTGGAAATGCTTCAGATGAAGACCTCACAATAGACATATTGCATAACAAAGGTACTGTAGTCTAGCAGTGTATGTGAAATACTCCTGCTCAGCTATGTATTTCTACACAGACTCTATGTACTATCAGTATAATAACTTGGTAGCAAGCCCATGTTGCCTCTCTACTATTTATAGTGTTAGTTTTTTGTATTGCTGCATGTCTGCAGCCCACTGTCTGCTATCATTACAGTTTTATCTTGTCTTTCATTGAGCACTAAAGAATTTGGGACATAAATATTGTGAGTCAAACTCTCCGACAGACAAGTCAGAATTGGACGATAAGTGTTTATGGTAAGTTTATGGATAATAATCACAAAGGTGCACATTTGCTAGGACTACGATCATTATAATCCCCAATCTCTTACAAAAAAATCATTTGCTACCATGTAAAAGATATAGGCTTTGTCCCCATTATTTTTTATTCCCCATTTATTCCTCATTGTTTGCAAATATTGCATACGTCTTTGAAATCCTCACCAGAAAATATCGTCTTACCGTATAACCTTGATTGCCTCATTGATTATTAAAATGATTGCTGATCAATTTTCAGTTGATGACTTATCAATTGTTACAATTCCAATGTCATTCGTACAGTATAGTCAAGCACAGACAAAGGTGCTCTGACAAAAGACATTCACCTACAATGAGCTAGCATTGACAAAGGAAGAACAATATTGACATAGTTTCACAAATGGGTGGCTTTTTCATACGCACATCTAATATAATCACTGCCCTAGATATTTGTCTTGTTGGATTGTCTTTCATGGCTTCGCTGTGAAAAGGCTCCGCTGGGAATCGAACCCAGGATCTCCTGTTTACTAGACAGGCGCTTTAACCATCTAAGCCACGGCGCCAGTGGAAACAACGGACATTACAGTCAAACAGTATCAGAGGAAAAAAATGGATCATGATGACATGCATTTTGTAGTATTGCAGAAGACCAGTTATGAGTAGTTTTCAACGTTTAACATGTAAATATGACCATTTTTAGCTGTGGAGGTTTTTTTTATTACTCCTTTTTTATCATAATTGTTGCCCTCGAGGTATCCAGCGAACCTTTAAGTCAGTGTTTTTTTGGTTTTATTTTGTTTAAGTTAAGAGTGCCATCTTTCAAATGCGCTGCTTTGAAACTCCATGATTGACAGGTCCCTTAACCAAACGTTTTGCAGGGGGCGGGCTTTAGGCTGGGATCTGTTTCCGGAACCAAGCGCACACATACACACACACGTGTGGGAAAAGCTGGCATTCAACGCAGTTCGTACTCTTCTGAATATCACCAAACGCAGGTAAGTTAAATCAGACTTTTGTCTAGAAGACATCAACGTTTCTCGCTTTATTTATTTACAGCTTTCCTGCTAGCAGCGCTAACTATAGCCAGCGATGCTAGCTAACAGACGGCAGTGCGAATGCGCTAGCGGATTTGCTAACTTTGGCGATGTCAGCATTACGTTATGTTCATCGTGTCTTTCCAGTGCCTGTGTTAAACTCGGGTCCGGTAAGAAGTCTGCAAGTGTTTGGCAGCTGTGAGACCAGAAGAGTTTCCCACATCCACGTCTGTTTCTCGCCTCCTCAGCTCCACAAACAGTAAGTCAGTAGCATCTTAGTTTCTAGGCCATTAACGTCAGTTCAGCTTGTTGTCATTACTCGATCTAACACTGCAATACAACACAGCTGTGTTTTGAGTTGACGTCAGTGCAGCAGTGTTGCATTACTGCGTAGAAGCAAGTACAGTAGTTTTAATATGTTACTAGTGATGGTGTATAAAACAAGATGCATCATACCAAAATTAATGTTAACTTCCACAAAGTAGGCAGACTTGCAATTGGAGATGCAACAGGAGCCGTGATGTTCAAAGCTTATTGTTTTAATGTGCAAATGTAACTTGTTCCTGTTCATTACACCACAACATGTTTAAGATACAAGGGGGATCTTTCACAGAGGGTATTTGGCAAATATGGTTCAGGCTCCCAAAAACATGGATCCTACATTTCCCATAATGCAACTTAATAGCATCTTTTGTCATACCTCCCCTCTCTCCATACCCCCAGTTTGTAATGCAGGCTTTTCTTTTAGATATTTGTTGTCTCGTGGCATCCTGATGAGTGAGGGGTTTGAAATTTTGTTACATGTTTCAAAACTATGTAATTGTAATATCTCCAGTTTTGTGGCCAGCTGGGGGCCTTTGCTCTCTGCTGACACCCAATAACAGCAAAAATAACTTTAAAATACTATAAAAAATAGGGTTATCTTTGAGCCCAGGTAACGGCTGTATCTGAACTATAGCACAGTTTCTCTGTCTCTGTTGCCACAGCTTGGCTCTGATGGCTGAGTCTGAGCCTGTCCAAGTCGGGGAAAAGAGAGGCTGTCCAGAGGATGAAGAGGAAGACACGCCGTCAAAGAAACCAAAAGTCGAGGAGGATCAAAAGAATGGAGGCCCCCACCACGATGGTGTGAAGGAAGAGCCCGCGAGCGATGGTGTGAAGGAAGAGCCCGCGAGCGATGGAGAGGAGGAGGAGGAGGAGGTCGTCGAGACCTTTGCCGATATGATGAAGCATGGCCTCACTGAGCTGGATGTGGGCATCCTGAAGTATGTCAGTGACCACGAGGGCTTCTCGGGAATCCTGAAGGAAAGGTTCGTCCTCCAGAGTCATTAAGAAGTTTGACTAATTTCTTTCAGTTTAGATTGTTTTAACAGATGATTTGTTGCGGCTTGTTCTCAGATATTCAGATTTCGTGGTGAATGAAATCAGCAAACAAGGCAAGATTGTGCATTTAGATGACCTCTCTATCCCTCCAGAGGCTGAGGTAAGATGTTGGGTTGAATTTCAATCACCAGTGTCACGTCTCTATAAGGATGTATATAGGATTTCATTGTGGATCGCAATAAAGAAGAACACTCAGTTAGTTGATCGTGGTGAATTTCCATTATCTGGATAATCGCGAATATCTTCCCAAGTGTCTTGGAAAAACAGCTGTCAAGCTCGTTATTATGGAGAAGTGGAAAAATAGAGCCCGATTATCATATCTAATTCATCATCTAATTCAGGAAGTCCCAGAGGCTCAGCCGCAGCCGGAGGATGCTGACGTGCTGACTGAAGAGCAGAAGAAGCAGCTCGGGGAGCTGCAGCTCTTCAAGAATAAAGAGGACAACGTCTCCATTGAGGTGAGTCTACACTTCCCGGATCCCTTTTATGACGTCCCTAAAGAGTTTTTTTTACGTAATGTCCTTACTCCTCTTTTCACATCTGTAGGTGATGGATGACACTAAAGAGAAGCGGACGCTGGTCCACAAAGCCATCAAGACTCAGTATGCTGGTCTGGAGACGAAGACGGAGGAGAAGGAAGGGCGCAAGTTCATCGTGGCCTACCACGCTGCTGGGAAGAAGGCGTTAGCAGGTATGTGGAGAGGAGACGGAACCAGATGTCATTAACTGTCTGTACAGACTTCATAACCAGTAAATCAGAGAACGGACTTATTGCATGTGTACCGTAAGCTTATGTGTTGCAGTGCATGTGGTCTCCAGTGCAGTACAATATGTTGCATGCTCTTGTGCATGTTCATGATCAAGACACCTGCATGGTTCTGCTCCAATGCATCGCACTCATTGTTTTGGTTATGACTGATTGTTGAGTGGATTACTGATTTTTGGTCAGAATGAACACTTTAAAAGAGAATAAGGAAAGAGGAGATTCAGTATCGTGGTGCGTTGACAAACCCTGCTCCCTTATTGCAAAAACCATTTAAATGCCATTATTCCACTCTCAGGCCCATGCATGAGGTCTCACCCCTGACAACTCACCACACGATCCTTAAACATCTCTTTCTCAGTAACATTATTTTATCCTCCTATTGCTCCTCTCTGGTGGATAGAGGTCAAAGCAGCTGCAGGTAAGAACCTATTCTCCACACAGCGCAGAGGAAACGGGTAAAACCCAGATGGAGTTAGGTGTCGGTTGCTAAAATGCTTTTTGATTTTCTAAATAAAGTATTATGTTATTTTTTTTTGCAATCACAAAGTAGCTTTCTTTACAGGTAAACATGTGGTAGTGCAAAATCTGTTACACTTTAACTTGACTCTTTAAAATTGATTTTGTATTTTAATTTTTTTTTTATGTGTTTAGCTCAACAATTCATAATCTGTATTTGAGTGCAACCTTTTCTTCTGTGTCCATGAAAAGCTCCGAGGAAACACTTCTGGCCCAAAAACCGTGGCAGTTTCTGCCACTTTGTCCTATACAAGGAGAACAAGGACACTATGGACGCCATCAATGTTCTCTCGAAGTTCCTCAGGTCTGAATGTAGCACGTAAACAAAGATCATCACTGGATAATAAGAGACAGATTGACAGTTTATTTTCCCCATGAAATGTGATTGTAGCTATTGTTTGTCTTTCTAGGCTCAGACCCAACATGTTTTCCTACATGGGAACCAAGGACAAGAGAGCCATCACTGTGCAGGAGATTGCAGTGCTCAAGTGAGTGTGTTATGCTTTAACATTCATGACTGTGCTTCCATTTCCAAATTGTCTGCGGGTGATTGTAAATAGGTGGTAAATGCTGCATGCTGTTACTAGGCAGACTATCTCTGGTGGATCGGCTTGTTATACAGTAACTAAAGAAACCTGGTCCCTGTCCTCTCAGGATCACAGCGGAGAGGCTGGCTCACCTCAACAAGTGCCTCATGAACCTCAAGCTGGGAAACTTTTGCTACAAAAACCACCCTCTTAAGCTGGGAGAGCTGCAGGGAAACCACTTCACTGTGATCATCAGGTCAGCAGGTGTTGTTTATGTAGAGTGTTCATGTATGTTCAACAGAGCCCTCTCCTGTGCTCTGTTGTGAATGCTGGTTAGCTGTCACCAACCAGTTGCTGTGTATCCCACAAGTAACGACTAGCATTAACTCCCAGGTCTAAAGATATTGTCCGTGAATTTTGTTTAAATTTGATCATTACTTTTTATGTTTTGTTTCTTTTTATTTAAGCTTCTAGTCTCCATTTTTTGTAAAACACTGTCTCCTCCATTGAAATTGTTCAGGCACACTGCGTTAACATCCACTGCACTTTGTGTCCCAGAAACATCTCGGGGACAGATGAGCAGGTCAGTCAGGCCTTGTCATCCCTCAAGCAGACGGGTTTCATCAACTACTACGGCATGCAGCGCTTTGGCACCACAGCTGTGCCTACACAACAAGTTGGCAGGTAAGGTCATGACACGAGGAGATACTGACATACAATTTAGATTGTAAGTTGACTGAAGGGCTGTTTCCTCCTTTTGTTTGGGGGCAGGGCTATCTTGAAAAACAACTGGAAAGAGGTGGTGGATTTAATTCTGAAGCCTCGTCCTGGAGGTAATGAGCCCTTTGTTTTGTCCTCAGTCTTTTCTTCTAAGTGGTTAAGAAGTATGTCAAACCTTCCTCCATCTTTACTGCTTTCCCCAGCGGAGAAAGAATTCCTGGTTCGCTGCAGGGAGGAGTGGGCAAAGACTCAGGACCCAGAGGCCGCCCTGAAAAAGCTGCCCAACAAGCGCTGCGTTGAGGGGCAGCTGCTGCGAGGCCTGTCTATGTACGGCCAGAAGAACATCGTCACTGCTTTTGCACTGGTTGGTTCATCTTATTTTTTTTTTTTAGTAATGATGCTATTAATAGGCTGGAAATGTGAGCGAGACATACAGAACATAAAAGAAGTAGTATAGCCAGTCAAAGTGCCCGACCAGAAGTACGACTACTGCACTGGGCAGGTGTAACTACTGTATGTGTTGTATGCTGCTTCGAAAATAACTATCTATTTTTATTAAACCATCGTGTTCACTGACCATTCATTCACATTCAAAGGTTTCTGCATATCTCTGATCACTCTTTGCTCTTTTTTTCAGATCCCTCGTAACAACCGCCTGATGTACATCCACAGCTACCAGAGCGTTGTGTGGAACACCATGGTGAGCCGGAGAATCGAGGCCTTCGGCCTGAAGGCCGTGGAGGGGGACCTTGTGCTCAAAGGAAGTAAGTAGCTCACATGTTAATGTTAAATATTAAAGGAATGGTTCAACAAGCACACATTTTTAAAGTAACCCTCTGCCGGCTGGAGTTTCATATTTCACGTACAGACATGAGTGGTATCATCTAACTCTCGGCACGAAAGCAAATACAAGCATTTTTCAAAATGTCAAATTAATACTTCAACAATAGTTTCAAAGAACAGGAAATAGTTTGAAGGAACAGATATCCAAAATGAGGTAGTTTATTTTCTTTTTTTGCAATTTCTCTGTCACCAGAAGTTAAAAGCCACCAAATCAAGTCAATGTGTTGTTACCCAGCTTAAGTCTACAGAAGAAAAAAATCTACTTTCCAACCGATAGTTTGTATTATTGAAACGGACTAAAACTAATGCTGATGTTGTCTGTGCTCATGAAGCTACAGCACACGTGCTGTCTGCAGAGGAGGCCGAGAGCTGCTCCATCCATGACGTTGTGATGCCACTTCCTGGGTTTGATGTCATCTACCCCACTCATCCCGGTAAGAAGTCGCTCTGTTGGATTTTGAGTTATTTTCTTCTTTTTTTTTTTTGCAAGTATTATGAAAAGATAGCTGTGAAGAATAACATTGAGTGGTTTTAACACTAACAAGCTTGTAATTGACTGTGATGCTTGTGTCTGCCTGTCAGTGGGTAAAGGATACAGAGAGCTGCTCACTGCAGACGGGTTGGACATCGACAAAATGAGACACAAAGTGAAGGACTACTCTCTGGCTGGAGCCTACAGACGCATCCTCATCAGACCCAGTGATGTCAGCTGGTCAGCACCAAATTAATACTAGTTTATTATTTTTTAACATGGTGTAACACTGTACAAAGCCCTTTATGCTGTAATACTAACCTTACTGTAATACGGAGGCTGTTATTGCGTACTGCAGGTATTTGAATGCTTTACTTTAATTGCTCTGTAATACTGCGATGCCTCTAACCTGGTGTTTTGTGGTATTTCTTTCTCTTTGATGCAGGGAGGTGATCCAGTACGACGACCCCAGGATCTCCCTGGTTCATAGCGATTTTGAGAAAATGGAGAACAAACCCGCTCCTGTCTTCAACAAAGGTACGGTTTCTTTATGGTTTCTTTTCGGTGTGTGTTAACACACCGGACTACCAATCTGTGGACAAAAGAACTACTGAACATAGAAAAAATGGAGACACTGAAATGATTCAACTGCTGAGCAGAGCTCAAAATAATTTAAAGAATAAAAATAAATGGTCAAACAACAGCCTGTCTGTCGATTGTCCCACCTTGATGAATGGAGCATAAGCTCGAGGTGTATATAAGATGCATAGGGTTGAGATGCATGAATGCTGATTTTTAGTTTTTTGACAGCCATCTTTTAGCACTCTCTGATCCAGTTTGTCTCTCCTTCCTCCACAGAGGGGAAGTATCGGGCTCTGCGGATGGAGTTCTCTCTGCCTCCCTCAACCTACGCGACCATGGCCATCAGAGAGGTCCTCAAGTTGGACACGAGCATCAAGAAACAGACACAGCTCAATACCACCTGGTTCAACTGAGACCAACACACACACACTGGCACAAACTGCTGCAGGCCGCAAAGCACCCGTCTACTGTGGCTACTTACTGTTGTGAGTGTTTTTAAGTGTATTATGCGCGTGTGTCTGTATGTGTGTGTGTGTGTGAAGGAGAGAATTGGGTTCTGTGTGAAGCCAAAAGGTTATTTCTTTGAACTACAAAGAGCAACAATGTATCATTATTCAACTTCTTTTATTATGTTTTTATTTGCTGTGTTTCTGTGCTGAGATGACTCAGTTTATTTTGACAATGATTTAAGTGGACTGTGTGCTGCCAGGGTGCTGTCTCGTACGTTAAGCCCCGCTGCTCAGGGGGCTCTCGGCATGCCCCTTTTGTACAGAAAAATGTGGTTCTTTTTTGTTTTTTAACTTTGAGCTGAATGTGTGAATTGAAAAAAACTCTTGCAGAAAGAAATTAAAACTGTTGAGTTTATAGTGTGAAGTCTGTCTTTGACTGTTATTAAGACACAAGTGTTGTCAATATGCGGTTGATTTATTTTCATAATGAGGCTCTTTTTCAATATTGTTCAATGCACAATTGTAAAAGTCACATCTTTCCCACGGGAGAGTGTTTAGATACACACAGATTGTCTCCCTCTACTGGGCCTCAGAGTTAAGTGTGCTTCCATTTAAGGATGTGAAATGTATTTTAGGATCCTTTCAGTCTGCTGCTGGTCAAATAGTGGAGCTGACCATCTGGCACTGTGGAACATGCCAGCTGGCAGAACACAGCTACCCTCTCAAACTAGATGCGAATCATATCATTCACCCTGGGGGTCCGTCTGCCCTCCTAGTTTTGGGTCATTTCACTCTTTTTATGGTTTCATGCTGTTTGTATCAGCTATGAGACATCTTACTAGATCCCGACTCTAAACGACAACAATAATAATGAACAAAGCCACAAAAATGTTTACTGGGAGTGATATTATCCTTTCTTTTTTTACGCTCTACTTTAATTCGATTTAATTTAGCTTAGAACTTATTTAGTTCACGTTTTATGTCACGGTTGAGATCCTAATTTTAACAAAGGGAGTACCACAAAAATTCAGAACAGCGCTATAAGACACTACAAGAGGCTGAACCCCTGAAAAGTTATTACCGGTAACTGTTACTGTATTACTCTATTCTGATAAGAAGGGAAACACAAAATCCTATTATTCATCGGAGAGTTAAACTCTTTAGTGTATTTGTGAATATTCTAGTAAGGATAAAAAAAAGCTAGAATTAGAATCTGGATATTGGCAGTGTGTCTTGAATTTGTCTGCGTGGCTTTTCATAAGAGAAGTGCTCAGTAGTGCTACAGTTAAGTGGCTGTATGTAAAACAGTCGGTCTAATCTGTCTGTGCTGCACAAATGGCCCACAGAGGCAGGTGCATGAGATAAAGTGAATGAAGAGTACAACCATGTAGGGTTTTCATGGCGAGTTTATGCACCATCGGACTCAACATAGTTGAAATATATTTATTGGAGAATTTGCAGAGATTTGAAATGTACTTTGGTTACAAATTGGGATATTTTTATATTTTCTGACAAATGTTAACATGGAGGATCAGTATATGTAACAAAATAAGCTCACAAGTCCACTTAGTAGCTCTTTAGAGCCTTCAATGACATCATCTTTTGCAAACAGCTCAGAGAAGCTAGTAACTGGACCTTTTTAATAAAGTATATTTTGTTAAACTAAAAAATACAGAGTAAATACATCATAAAATAAGTGAAGATTAGTCCAATTATAACAACAACCAGAGTAATAGTGGTGTGACTAACATCTTAAACAGCAAACAAGCTGCCACAAAGCAATTATATGCAAAACTGTAAATTGGATGGGAATCAAATTGAGACATGTGGGCGACAAGTTTAGTTCAATCAAGGAAACTGTAGAATTTAGAGTACATTGATTAAAATAAATATGAAACGATTCACTCCTACTCAGCTGCTAAATGTTGATTATCGACACTGGTGGGAATGTCGAATCTACTAAATATGAAGGACCCATCCCCATTTTCTCAAGGCAGGTGCAGGGCAATGTTCCCACTATTAAGAGGCAAACAGTTGTCATAGAAGATCTGGAAAGAGCTGGCAACGTAAGTTACTTTCTTCAGGAATTCCTCCAGCTGCTGCACCGTCATCTCTTGAACCTTACTATCCTCCCTTTCGTTGAGCCCATGAGCTGCAAACGCAGGAAACTTTGAGCGCTCTGAGTACGGCGCATTGTGGTCAAAATCAACACAGCAGTAGGCCGACCAGAAGTAGGTGGGGATGCCCAGGCGGTTGATGTTGTGGCGGCGGATTGTCTGGCCCGAGGTGGTGACCCCGGTGACCACATAGGCGGTGCCACGACAGTAGTTGTTGAGCCGCCTGCGGATGGTGCGCTCGTGGTTCTTCCAGGGCCCAATGTTGAACTCTCTGGCTCGGGGGACCACGTTCGTCAGGGTGTAGGTGGATGCTTTGTCGTTTGGGTGGGCCTGGTGCTCGTCTGGATTCAGCTGGCCACGTTCAAATTTCACAGAGTTAGAGTAGTCGTCAAGCACGGCCTGAGCGTCCTCAAAATTCTTGTGGACGTTTTCTGAAGGGAACTGCTGCATCTCACGAGAGTCAGACACTGTGGAGAGCTGTCAGGACAAACAGTGTCATCACTAGAAATGATGTTAGGTAAGTAGATTAACAGATAACACTCATTGCCAAAGGATCTTTCCTAATTTTCCCATCCTGAACATTGGAAATGATACTTTCCTAAAAGGAAATGCAACACTCAGCCCCTACCTGTGGCTCGTACATCCAAGGCACATCAACCTTCTTGGAGCCGTCCGAGCGCTTGAAGGTGTACGCCGAATATACAGGGATGTGGTTGATGGTGTCGTACAGGGTGACAAATCGCGGGTTGCCCTTGTAGAACTGGCAAATCTTTTTAAAAGGCTGCTCCTCGAGCCCCCGAGGCAGCGTGCCCATGTACAGGAACTGTTTACACTCAGGTGAGAGCTTTTCCTGCACCTCCGCTGCCGCCATCACGACGATGAGAAGGCCGATGAGCGTTTGATCCGATCTGTTGTAGACGATCATGACGAATTGTGCAGTTTCCACAGAGCATTCAGTCTCTTTGAAACGGTGTCCCGCTGTGTGGACTTTGCCTCTGCGCTTCATACCATCCCAGGCATATTATGCAAACTCTTATCTTTTTCACTTTACAAGTTGTAATGAAAATCCATCAGTGGCCATCACAGCTCAGAGATCCTAAAGGTCCTGCGCAACCACAGGAGCTCCGAGTAATTCTGGCTGACAATTGTAAAGTAATTATGTGACAAATGTACTGAAAACACAACTGAACAGTGGGGTAAATATTAATCAAGGAGAGACAGAAGGTCTTTTTTCACCCCAGACATTTTACTAACAATATTAATAATGACTCTGTTCCATTTACACTAAGTGTTCCTGTAAGTCATTAATAAATAACATGTGTAATTTCCCTGCAATGAGGGAAACATCAGCTGTGAAAAAGGCAATACTTAGCCCATTACCTTCATTTAATGTGTTTAATATTTCAAACCTTTCAGCCTCATTGCACTAATGTCTGATGAACTCAGAGCTCACAGCTTTCCATCTGTGCCACAAGCTCTTTATAGGCCTAGAAAAAGGTTAGCCAAACATATCCAAAATGGAAATACACTTTGTGTTCTTAAGCCCAAGGAACCACTGAACCGAAACCAATGTAATAAAGCCTTTCTTAAATGTGTTGTAATTCACTTTGTTTCACCAGGACAATCCACTGAGTACCGTTACTGCTCTCCAGAGAGTCCGAGGTATAAACTCAGAGTCCACAGCCATGTTAGTATCTCTGTGTCCTTGTAGCTAAATGCTAAAGTCAGCATGCTAACATGCTCACAATGACAATGCTAACAAGCTGACCCTTCTCGATTTGTAGCAGGTTTTTTCTTCTCATTTTCACTACATGAGAAGAAAAAATATTTGCTAATTAATGTTAAATACAAAGTGCAGCTGAGGCTGATGGAAAAGTCATTAGTATGACTAAAGTGTTGGACAAATTTGAAAAATCACTAAATGATGGTATATTTCACTCACAATCCAAAGATTGTGAATTCAATTTTTCCAACCTCGTAGTGACGGCGGAGGAAAAATCCTCAAAATTATAAAAATGCCAATACAGTTACTGCAATTCAGGCTATCGATACCAGCCGTTTTCAGAAGATTTATCTGTATATAAGGTCTTTGAAGTCTGTCCTTTCATACATCCTTACACTGCATCACTTCCTTCCCCCTGTTGTTCCCACTGTGATGCTCAGCATACAGTTTTCTTCTCAATGAAACAGTTGTATTTACTCTGCCTTTCTTTACTTGTGTGTGTGTGTGTGTGTGTGTGTGTGTGTGTGTGTGTGTGTGTGTACCACCATGTTTCTGTGAGAGAAAAGACTGTGGAATGTTTTTGGAAACATCTCTTTCCATACCAACAGGTTGATGGCAGCGTGACCTCTGCCCCTGTGGTAACAAACACTTCCTGTTTACTATCGAGACATCTTCACTGTTTACACTCTAACCCCATGCTGACCTACAGCACACATCCATCTAATATCCAACCTTAGCTATAACAGAAACAGAACCTTAAATATTCTCACAAATAAAAGCCAAAATGTGACTATAAAAAAGGTAAAATACTTGAATATCTAGGGAATGTCTTAACTTCATCAAATTAGTTCAAAATCAAATTAGGATTTGCATATGGACGTCCAAAAGAAAACCACTTATTTTTTTAAATGGAGAAATTGTCACAGTGTAAAGGAGATGCTGCTCTGGACAAAACTGTTGTGAGGCAGTGAACCAGAAGTTAGTGGTGTCTCCAAATGCTAACAGCTGACACCTAAATTGACCAATTTATGGTATTGGCTTTGGAAGCTGCCACCAAACTTTTAATCAGGGTAAAAGTATGTATTGTAATAACAATTGAAGTAATTACTGGTCAGTAATGTAGTAATTCAATTTATATTCCACTCATTATCCACATATAAAAACAGTTACTCTGATAGACAACCATACTTTAATGGGTTAATACTGCTATCTATACCTGTATTTGCAAATTGCTCTATCAGATATGAATGTTTGTGAAAACATCAATGCAGGGTAGTGGAGACAATAGTGTCAGAAATAACCCTAAAATCATATGTAAGTATGACACAACAGTGAATTGGAAGCCTCCTTTTGGCGAGAGACAACACAGCTGTGGGTCATCTGTAATCTGTCACTATTGTTCTTTTTTACTCCAGGTATTTACAGAATGATGGTTTTAAATAAGGCTGCCTCACACACATTCTGATGCTGCGGTCAGACTGTGAAAGTGAGGGCCGTTATTTGTTTGTGCTCAGTGTGGCTTGTTACATTTAACCACTGTACACACTGTGTGTGTGTTTGAACATGTGAGACACAACAAAAGAGTGTGTTTGTATTGACACACATTTGGGTACTGTGTGCATTTGGATGTGTGTGTGTGTGTGTGTATCTGTGCATAGAGAATATGAGCAGCCTAGCGGATTGTGAGGGATCTGTTTGTGTGTCTCGGGTTTGTGTGTGTTTGCAGGGGGGAAGATGGGTGATGTTATTGTGTCTCTCGGGAGGGTTTGTGCTATGGGGAGGGGGGTTATTTGCAGGTCTCGTAACTCCCTGCCAGGGTGGTCTAGTTTGCGAATGAGAGAATGGAGGTGTGTGTGTGTGTGTGTGTGTGTGTGTGTGTGTGTGTGTGTGTGTGTGTGTGTGTGTGTGTGTGTGTGTGTGTGTGTAAAGGACTTTAGACACACCTTCCTCAGCCGGCTCAGTACAGATATAGAGATGGAGAGAGAAGCAGGAGGAAAAGTCACAGAGAGAAAGTGGAATGAGGGAAGGCAGGATGAGAGGGCAGCTGCTGAATTTTGCTCCACAATGATCATCATCACGCCATCATCTCAGTAGAGATTTCATCGTCCAAGCCTGAGGTAAGTGTCAGTTGTGAGCCTCATCATAACGCTACGATGCCATGTTTACATGCAAAACATGCAGTTAAGCCTCTAATCCAAATTTACTGTATGAATTGAAAAAAAATGTTTTGCATAGGAAACTCTAAAAAATAAGCAATAACAGACAAAAGATTCACATGCTGCATTATTAGCATACAACATATTTCTTAAATGATAAATTGTCAATGCATGGGAAAGGCTCATTGCCTCTTTAAACTGATTGGGAGCTACTGAAGCCTATTCGTGCAATGGGAGAATCTGGTCTCTCTTGTAGCAATCAAACTCTTCGTCATAAAGGTCTAAAGCGGTCGGCAAAACCGGCAATCTTTTTCAAGAGACGCCTGTGCACAACACATTAATTACATTTCAGTGTTGTTTGCAAAAGTCTGTTTACAGCATTCTTGGGCAGATTAGTCTAAAATTCCTGGACTAAACTCACACAGTAATATGTGCGTTGCTTACTTTTGCCTTGTTGTCACATGCTGTGCACATACAGTATTTACAGCATTTGAACCTGTTGCAAAAGTCTTAAGAATTGAATTGTGTTTTGACTGAACAGGGGGACAATCCACTACATGAATGTGGGCCCAGAAACAATAGTACCACTGGAGGAGACTTTTTGCTTCGAGACATTATACTGACCAAACTTCAGCCCGCCAGGAAAGTAGTGGGACGTCCAGTGATTTTAAAAAGTGGCAAATGATTTAATGGAGGATGGACACACAAATGCCAGACGCAGACTTCCTCAACTCCCCCTCTCCTTCTCCCACTCTACTCTTCCACTGTGACTACGGCGACTGGTCTCCCTCCTTCTCCATCATCCCGTCCGTCTACCTCCTGGCCTTCCTGGTTGGATGCCTCGGCAACGGCCTGGTGCTGTGGGCCTACCTGGACCGGGCTGATGGGAGGGGAACTGCAAAACTCTGTTGCGCTGGCATTTTCAGAAGCAGCCTGCAGAACATGAACAGCGCTGGTAGATTTCACCCCAGGTCCTCTCCTCAGAGGAAGACAGAAAACGGCGGCTCTTCCTCCTCTCACACCTTGGCCTTGTCCTCGTATCCTCCCTCCATCCCTCGTCCCTCCCGCTTTCTAACGGACTCTCTCATAGCCAGCTTAGCGTTGGCTGACCTCTGCTTCCTTGTGACTCTCCCTCTGTGGGCGGTCTACACAGCGATGGGCTACCACTGGCCTTTCGGGCAACCGCTCTGCCAAATCAGCAGCTTCCTCACTGCGCTCAACATGTATGCCAGCGTGTTCAGCCTGAGCATGCTCAGTGTGGAACGGTACTGGGTTCTGACCGGACGCCGGCACTCCAGCCACCATGCCCCGCAGAGGTGCCCCAGCAGGGCTTTGTGGATACTTGGAGGGGTGTGGGTGCTGGCGGGGGTGCTGGCACTTCCTGGTTTGCTACTGCGCTCTGTCAGGGAGGTGGAGGTAGACCCTGAATCTGATTATGATTGGCAGCTGGAGCCGGTTCATCCTACTACTGACTCTGGAACAATCTTCCTCTCCTGCCAAATGGATTACTCCATGCTGATTGGAGCAGAGCTGGAGGAGACAGATCGAGAGCAGGCGGAGATGTGGTGGGCGGCCGCTTTGAGTATTAAATCAACTCTAATCGGCTTCCTGCTTCCTCTTGTCATCTTGCTGGTCTGCTACTGCTCATTGGCCCAGCTCCTGAGCAGACATTTTGGGCGGGGCCCTTGTCCTGACCGCAGGCGCCAGCGAAGACTCCTCAGGGTCATCGTCACTTTAGTGATGGCTTTCTTTCTGTGCTGGCTGCCTCTGCATGTTAATAAGACTGTTTCCATCCTGCTGGAGTTTGGTTTTGTCCCACACTCCTGCTCTTTGGATCAGATTTTACTGGCTGCTCAGCCATACGTCACCTGTTTAGCTTATCTCAACTCCTGCCTTAACCCTCTCCTGTACGCTGCATGTGACCCGTCCTTCAGGAAGAGATGCAGAAGAGCTCTTCTCCTGCTGTGCAGGACGTGCAGGAGAGGAGGAGGAGGAGGAGGAGGAGGAGGAGGAGGAGGAGGAGGAGAGGGAAGGGAGGGAAGGGAGGTTACCTCAAGAACACAGGAGGAAACAGCAGATAAGACAGAGGGAGGAGAGGAGATGGTGGGGGAGGTGGGTGCCACGATTGCTGAGATAACTGCTTGAAATAGAAGAATGATATCTAATTTCTCATCGTGGAACCAGGACATCAGGTCATTTTGTTTGCCGCCAATAAAGCTAGTGATCAACATTAGACGAATGCCTAAGTGGCCTGAACTCAGACTCTGAAAGAAACTGTGTCAGAGGTCAATATTTTCTAAATAAACATCCTTATCAAATGAACATCCACGATTTCAGAGACAAAATTCCAATCCACAGATTTCCCACAGGAACAATCCACCACTTCCTAAAAGATAGTTGATCGTGTTGCCAGACCAAAATGTTCTCATGTCATCTGATCTGTTTTTCATATTTTGTACTGGTAATATACTTTGAGTTGTTTACTGCACTGTTTGTTCTATTAAAAAAGGATCATGTAACTCCCATTTGTCTTTTGATTGTGAGAAAATATAGTACACCCATGAATATGTAAACATAAAAAAGAACCTGGTAAAATCTGCAAAAATACAGTTAAAATAAAACAACGTTACTTCAGGAGAATAAAACTGAGAAAACACCGGACAAAACGTAAAAGCATCAAGACAAAAGCATAAAATATTTGAAGTGAAGGTGTTCAAATGATGTGTATATAGCAAAGTAAATAGATACTATTATAAAGGTTCTTACCTTATGTACAAAGTAGATTTGTGTGTGTGAGTGTTTTGATATAAAAACTATTGTTTGGTAGATACTACCATATCTATCCAAACAAAAGCGTCGTCTAACCAGTAAACTCAAAACACATGTATACATCAAGCATTTAGCAATTTAAAAGTAAAGAAGTAAAGAAGAGAAGTACCAGACCCCACCCAGAGGATGGCGCTAATGAACTATTAAACTGTTTAACAACCTCCACAAAACTCAAAGAAGACTTATATGGCTGCTGTCGAAAAGTCCAAAAATTACACACACAGTGCTGTTCGTTTCGTATTTACACCATTTCAGTCCCGTGCAGTCTCTCACACTCAACCATTTAACAGGTGACGGCAGTACGTCTCTGAGGGTTCAGGGTTTAAAGCATTTGGTTTACAACGTAATTGGGCCAATCTTTGGACTTTTCGACCGCAGTCTGTGGTGTTGTTGGGTGAATTTCAAAGGTTTGTTTAGCTGCATAACATGTTCTCCGTCGTACTGACTTCGTGCAATGATTGCAGACGAAACTGTTGCATTGATGAAACTTTGTCCTGTGCAGTTTGACAGGTTTGAGAAATAACGTCGCGGTTGATGAAGATGGGAACAGCATTGGTATATGATGAGGAGATGACCAAATATAAATTGCTCTGGGTTGAGTAAGTAACTGTTGAATGAATCACACTTAATGTACTGTGTTTTATGGTATATTTGAATTGCCACGACTGCGTCTTAACGCTAACCTTTGCGCACGTTTCACCTGTTTTCATTCATCTATGCTCATCGCGTTGGTAGCATGGGTGTACAAAGAGTAACAAGTAACGCTGAACTGTAGTTAGACTCGTTGCCTCGGTTAACGTTATCCTTATCTGATTCGTGTCTTTTAAATAATGGTAGGAACTGAAGTTGCGGTTAGTCGTGTTGCTGCTGGCCCGGGGGACAGTTAACGAGGAGCACCAGCAGCGTTAGCTTCAAAGCTAACAGCTGTGGTCATACAACGTTATCCTCTAATCACTGAGTTTATTTCCTCACAAATGAAAAGCGTAAAGTTATCACATGTACTCGTTACGTCTTTGTTTTGTCGATACTATCGGTTTCATGCAGTGTAGTTGTTACTTTGCACTCTTTTCAGCACTTCATTTACTGTTTCATGGCTAATGGGCTAGCTCTAACAGCTGTCTGACGCTGTTTGTAGAGTTGGTGTATTGCAGTACACGTTTATACGGTTTAACATAATCTCACATATTTAGAAACAACTCTTCTGTTTGTATTTTGTACCATATGGTTAGTGTGTACACTCATACACCAAACAAGCACAACCCCAAAAACACTAAACTTCTCCACCAAGATCATCACTGTAGACCACAAGAGGTGTGAATGTCATGTGCTGTATGTATTATCAGCACCATTTCATATTTATCAACAATGTGTATTCTTGATTTAAGGGATGGTCCACTGATTCTTGGCAGGTTTACATCTGTTTCTAATGTTTGTGCTCAAAAAATGAAATTGCTAAACTACCAATGACTAGCTCATAATGTACAACTAACTTAATTATTAACGTAATGTCCTTAACTTAATATTATTGTATGGACCATCATTTTAATATTTTTTTCCAGCCCTGTATGTAAGATTGAGGTACCTGAGCGCCTGACAGTGAGTCATGAAGCTTTGGTTAAGGCTGGTCTTGCTGATCGATGCGTCGCCGTACCTGTGCGCGAGGCGACCGACGCAGACATCCTGCTGGTTCACAGGTCGGTCCTGATGTCGACAAAGAGCCCTGGTTCAGTTCACTGTTCTCTCCTCTTCTTGAGGCTAAAATAAACACCTAAAGCCACTCATCTACATGCACTTTGCTGATCTTAACAGTGAGGAGTACTTGGAGGCAGTGAAGAAGACCCCCTATATGACTCTGGAGGACCTGAAGGAGTTCACCCTGCAGTATGGGGACGTCTACTTCCACCCAGTTAGTCCCGTCCAGTGCTTGATATTCTTGATAGCGGAGTTGCAGCTGTTGCCATTTATTAATTTCTGTAGGTCAGCTTCACTCCTAACCCTTCATCTTTCTCATTTACTGTCCTAGAACATCTATCACTGTGCCAAGCTGGCTGCAGGCGCCGCACTGCAACTAGTGGACAGTGTTGTGACGGGGAAGGTGAGGAACGGCATGGCTCTGGTCAGGTGAGGCCGTTAACCCCTCAGACACAGCAGTCCTGATATGTACCCTGATGCTACAGTGAGCGTCTCTCTTTTTTGTTGTTGTTCTAACTTTGGTGCTACTTAAGTGCTGGCCTCTTTTTCTTCTTCTTACATCATTCCAAACTGAATACTAAGCATTTGTTTGTAAGTTGTCTTTTGTTCCCGGTATTGACTAAATGATTTGCATAAAATCCTGACATGTATATCGCTCCTCTTGTCATTGTCGACAGACCACCAGGACACCACAGTATGCGCAGTGCTGCCAATGGGTTCTGTGTGTTCAACAATGTGGCCATAGCGGCTCAATATGCCAAACAAAAATATGGGATGAAAAGGTGACTTGAGATTGTTTTTCTTTGTTCTCGATAGACGTACTGTATTAGTTCTGCCACGATGTATTCAGTTATTTCTTCACATATTTTCAGGGTGTTAATAGTTGACTGGGATGTACATCATGGTCAAGGGGTGCAGTCCTGTTTTGAAGATGATCCAAAGTGAGTCCTTGCTAACTGACTAGTTAAGTTGTTTACGTTGCAGTTGTCTTCGAGCATAATACATTCTGAATACTGTATGTTATTTCCCAGCGTGCTCTATTTCTCATGGCACCGCTACGAGCATCAGCGATTCTGGCCTCAACTTAGAGACTCAGACTACGACTGTGTTGGCAAAGAGAAAGGGGCGGGATTCAATATCAATGTACCATGGAACAAAGTAAGGAACCGTAGATATACTAAGTTATTGTTAAGAATTTTTGAATGAAATTTCTGCTTTGACAATAATGTAAATTATCCTGAAAATGGCAAAAATGGCTGCAGCTTATGTTAACTATTCATATCCTTAATTGGTTATTTAAAGAATAGTTTAATGTATCAAATTAAAATGAAATATGCAGTTTATACAAATGAGCAGCATTACCGATTTTTGAAGCTGAAACCAGAAAATGTTCTTGTAGTATTTGCGTTCATGATGTAAAACATTTGCTTTGATGGTTGTGTGCATGAATGTTTTATTTATATTAATGAGGTCCCGTTGTGATAATTCAGGTGGGAATGAAGAACAGTGACTATCTTTCAGTCTTCTGTCACGCCCTTCTGCCAATCGCATACGAGGTAACTCATTGAGGAAAATTCACATCTCGCTAACGGATACAGATGTGTTGGATATTATTTATGTCAACTTATGACTGATCATGTGTTTCTTTGTCACAGTTTAGCCCAGACCTGGTCCTGGTGTGTGCAGGCTTTGACTCAGCCATCGGTGACCCAGAGGTACTGAATATACATCACCGTGAAATATACATTTATTTTTTTTTTGGTGACACGACTTGTGAGACCTGTAGAACTCTGTGTCCAGTCTGTTTGCCCCCATTGGGACATTTATATGGTGAAGTGACGTCAGTGGGTCTTTATTTTCAGGGTGAAATGTGTGCCAGCCCCGACATCTTTGCCCACCTCACTCACCTCCTGATGAACCTGGCAGGAGGGAAAGTGTGTGCTGTGCTGGAGGTCAGGCCACAGTCACGTTACAAACGCGCTACCATTCGGCCGGAGGAACGTCTGGTTGTAAAAGATTTTATCGTGTTTTCCAGGGAGGATACAACTTGACTTCCCTCCATCAGTCTGTGTGTCAGACAGTTCAAACTTTGCTTGGAGACCCGGCGCCGCGACCTGCGGACCTCGATGGTCCGTGTACAAGGTTGGTCTCACGTCAATTAAATCATGTACGCCTGTGTTTTTACAACTGTAGTGAATAAATTTTTCCTATTTTCAGTACACTTGAGTCCCTTCACTGTGTCCGATCAGCTCACAGGCAGTACTGGTCCTGCCTCAAACATGCAGGTATAACATCCACGTTATTCTTTCTGAGCCTTTTCATCTGTTCCTTAAAAATGTGTCTCACTGATTTTAGGATAGCACTCTTTTAAATGGTGTGACTCATGGACAGTTTGATCCAGCAGAACCAGATATATGAGATCTGTTTGAAATTGCATATCAACATACTATTTATGCTAAATATGACATAAAATTGGTGGATTTTGTGTATGTGAGAAATGCCCGGATGTACACTAGATAAGCAAGAATTTGTGAGACTGAGACGTGAGCTTATTGGACGTACTCAACCGAGTGAAAGAGGGAATGTTGATTTACATTTGTGATACACAATTTTCTTTTAACGATAGCTCGGACCGGTAACATCGTGATCGATAGTCATGTGATGCGGAGAAGACGTGTTGATTACGTTTACTTCAGTGTGAACACAATGCTGCTGATTGCAAAGTACTTAATCATTTATTTTGTGGACAGTACGACCATCTTTTTTAATTTACACACATTCTCCTTCCTTGTCAAAACCTGGCGCCTACATTGCCCACAATGCAACTCGGCCACTGACGGTTTGCTCTGAGATTCAGGTGTGTTACGCTAATAGCGGCTAATGTAGCCTCGATCAGAGATGACTTTTCACTTCACTGCTTCATAAAATATTTAATTTCTCTTTTCCGCAGCTGAGCTGCCCACCTCTGAAATCAGCACAAAGTGCATTCAATTAGCAGAAGAAGAAGAAAAGCAGAAGGAAGAAGAGGAGAAAAGCACAGAGAAAGAGGCGTGGCCAGAGCCTCTGAAACGTGTCACTCCTCCAGTTCGCACTGCTGTAGTCCTCCCTGACGGTGTGGCTTGCCCAGACGGATGTGAACGCTTCAGCCCATCAGAGGACCCGGTCATACTCAACAAAGTCAGGTAATATTTTCCATAATTTAACTTTTATGTCTTATTATTGACACAGGAAGAATATCACAGGAGGCGTTGCATTTAAAAGAATATTTATAGTCACGATCTTTGTTATTATGTAAAACACTTTTTTTATTTTTCCCACACTAAGGGAGAATTTCCTCAAAGGTTCAGATGACAGCGACGCTCTCACATCCCTCTCCAGTCTTACTGCCCTTGTAGAGAAAATGGAGAAGAATGAGGTACCATCTGGATATTATTGTTTGAGTCTCCTCTTTCCGAGTGCTGTGATATGATCTGCTTAGCTGCAAGCTGATCGTATTTAATCACCACATCTCAGATCTGCAATGGCTTGGCGCTGGTCCGTGACGTCTCCACGGCGAGGATGTGTGTTGTCCAGCATGCTGCAACTGCTCACCGCAACCGGTATAGCTAGTTAGCTTAGCATAAAGACTGTAGCTCAGAATGTAGAACTATTTCTTTAAATACTGTTTGTTTGATGAGTAAATCAGGCTGATTTGATACCACTGTCTCCTCATGCAGGGTTCTGATCGTGTGTGTTGGAGACGCGGTGGTCCCGAGTCCAGGCACAGACGATGGGTGAATGTCATTTGTGTGTCCCTAAATTAGACTTTGTGTTCAAATTCTCCCCTTGAGCTGATGGAAAAAAAGACATTTATCTGCAACAGTATGAACAACATGATGACAGAAATCTTTCCATCTTCAGGAAAACACTCCTGGTGCAGTTCAGCAACAAGGAGTCAGAGGAACAGAAAGGCAAATTTCACATTCCTGTGTGTCTGAAGGAGGTACTGTGTATAGAAATTAGAGTTTTTACAATGTACTGTGGACTATTTTAGTAAATGTCATATAATAATGCTGTCGTGATGATGCCCCTCTTTGCAAGTGTATTTGTATTTGTCTTCTCACAGGGCTGCAGGGATGTGTCAGGGTTCACACTAGCTGTGTTGGGCCTCCTCCTGCCTCTGGGATACGAGTATGACCCCAGTCTGGTTCTGTTGGTTCGGACTCCGGGTAGCGGGCTGTGTGACGCTGCGTGGCAACAGCTAACGGGCCTGCTGCAGGGCCTCGCACAAGGACACACACTGGTGCTCATGCAGGTAAGAAGAGGTATACGTGTTCATCTCTGCCCTCATTTTTGGGGCGTTTTTAAATGGCAGGTGTTCTACTTTAGTGGTCGGTAATTTATTTTATTTCAGGAAGGTGAGAAGGCATGTGTCGGCCCCACGGCATCCTCTCTCCTCGGGGTCGCCGCCCCCTCTCTGGGGAAGCTTCCTGCTCCTCTGCCGGAGGACGTGGAAGCGCTGGAGAGACTGAGACACAGACTGCAGGCGGACTGGAAGCTACTGCAGACTACAGGTGAATTCACCACAGCAGCATCACGTAGCAACATTGCACATAATGTGTGACATCCAGAGAGTTTGAAACAACCTGTACTTACTTAAGTGGAACTTCTGTCTCCTAAAAACAGCACCAGAAACTGCAGGAGGTGAAGAGAAGTGAAGCCGATCCTGTTCCTTTTTTTTTTTTTATTCAGAAATCAGTTGAAGCACATCAATCAAATGTCTTGATAGAATTTTGTATTTTTTGATAAATAAAGTGTATTTCTTAAAAGACATGTTTGGAATTAATACAAATCTTGTGAACCCCACGATTGATGGGCTTTACAGAGCTTTTGATGCATGGATTATCAAATTAAATGTCTTAATCTGTTATGATTTAACAAAAATGATTTGTAATCTGTAATGTCTAAACTGGACAAATACAGGCCTGTGCTATGAATTATGATTTTTTTTTTTTCACCCCATCGATAAATCAAACTCTTATTTCTGTGTGAGTTTAACCCAAATCTATGTTGTCAAAAGTTAATATTTTACCATGTGTTTGTTGTTACCCCATGATGTTTACTGTGGGCACATTTGTGACAGCGAAGCAAACTTGGCCTCAAATGTTTATACATACATACCAAGTAATACATCTGAAATAACTTTTCTTACAAACATCTTAATCTGTGGTTTGCATCCAACAAGGTGCGAGTATGTTTGCAAAATGAAAATGATTTTGGGTGAATGTTCATTCTCTGTGAACAGAAGAGAATCTAGTAATTACATTTAATCAAGTTCTGCACTTGAGTATAATACTGAAGTTTGTACGTAACTTCAGTATTTCCTTTTAATGCTACTTTGTCCTTCGACTCCGCTACATTTCAGGGGGAACTCTTTATAAATGTAGTTTCACTGTAAACAAAATGAACGCAATAAAAGTGAACTTCTCGACCAACTACAGCTTTAAAGTCTTTCTTGTACATAAATGCATCAATAATAATGATTCATTAAAATATTTTAACACAGACATCATAATGAATACTTTCCTTTTGATACTTTAAGTACATTTTTCAGTTAATACTTATTGACTTTTTCTTTTGTAAATGTTTGAATGCAGGACTTTTACTTGTAATTAAGTATTTACATAGTGTAGTAATGCTACATTTACTTAAATGATCACAATACTTCGTTCGAATCTAAGCTCTTACAAGCTTTTAGAGGATTTTAAACTGCATTTCATGGTCTTCATTTGTTGAAATTCTGAGTTTGAAGTTGGTTTCCCTCCACTATTTATTTATTTAGCGTCATATTTTACATTAAATAGATCATAATGTTTTTTTAAGACCAGACTTTATAAACTCTGTTCCTCATCCTGCCCTTGAGAGGCGCTGTGGATGACCCGTCGGTAAACATTGAAGCAGATGAAGCTGTGAACACATGTGATTCATTGGTCTGTGTTGATGCACGGACAGACGCCGCTTCCTTCAGTCTGCTGTCTGCCGGTGAATTTGGTGGCTTTTGGCTCGCGCACCGGTGCCCTTGAACGCATCACAGGGAGGAGTGACCATTACTAACAGACATAATAGAGAGAGAGCACACAAACGCATCACACTGAAAGATGTCTGCGAACACTAGTGCGACGACGCAGTCCGCCAAAATGAAAAAGGACGAATCTTTCCTCGGGAAATTAGGAGGAACCCTGGTGCGGAGGAAAAAGTCCAAAGAAGGTAAGTCATTTTTTTTTATGATATTGTAATATCATGAAAGGCCTGCTTGTGTTTCGCTTGTTGGGGTTTCTGTCCATGGTGCTGCAATCATATGACGCGCTATTAGAATATTCTCCTCTGGGACATCACCGGCACTTTAATCCACAGCACACACGATCTACAACACAAGGAGACATTTATATTCTGCGGTTCCCTGCTGTGTTTATCTTGGTCAATGTTTCATTTACATCCTCTCGATGAGCGTCCTATAATTTAATTAGAGGTTCAATCATGAACACATTTGTTGTTTAATAGTTCAAGTGAATAAAGGAGAGGCGAGACAAAGTCCTCTTAGCAACTCCACAGTCATTTAACATGAGGCAATGCATATAAATAGATCATATAGGCACTTGTGAGGGGAATGCAGGGTTATGAAGATAAAGGTGTGGGAGGAAGACTCTGCTCTCACTGTGCTTTCTAAACACTCTAACTTATTGGCCTACTTTTACCAGGCGTTGGCCAAACTATTTTCTGCCCTCCCAAAGGCCAAACACTGTGCGGTAAAACAGACAGCTGCAAGGTTTAACGCCTCAGTGTGTCTGTGAGTGTAGGTGTGTGTGTGTGTGTGTGTCTGTCTGTCTTCACTGTGTGTGTGTGCTCACAGCCATGTGTTTGTAATCTCCATTAAAGGAGGTAGACATACAGTATTAATTGTTTAGGGGCCTTAGGAGCCTCATTAGACATACATCTCATCTAAAAACAAAACAAAGCAAGGAGTTTCCACTCATTTGAAAGTTTAGATTTGTTTGAATTCTCTTAAATCAAACTGTTCAAATTAAATGTGTAGTTTGGACTCTGAAGTCTGGCGGGACAGCCACAAAAAACTCTGGTTCCAGCTTCTTTGAATGTGGATTTGTCGCTTTATGTTTTCATATCGTAAATTAAACATATTTGCATTTTAGACCCGTGGTCGGGCAGTAAAAAAGCAGTTTGTCACCTTCGTCTCTGGGGCACATACCCTTTCTGTTTCTGTACTATTATAGACTCAATGATGGACAAATGAATTGATCATGAAAATAATAGTGAGATTCAGCCCTAACATACATACATACATA